CAACAAAGAGGAGATATAAAAGACACTCAAAATGTTTGCCGTTCTCAGGACGGACAGATTATTGCACCAACCACTCTTCTAAACATTCTAATTCCAGATGCACATGGATTTGATCACTGTGCGAGGGGGGAGGTAATAAGGAGAATTAAACAACAAGGATATTGGTCCCCAAACCAGTAGTGGATGAATTTTTGTCCTCCTGTGAAATTTGCGCCAAACATAATATTAGAAAAGGTATAACAACACCAGTAGGTCATATGTCAGTACCAGAAGGACTGTTTAAACACTTTGTGATTGATTATGTGGACATGATAAAACGGGTGCAAGGTAAAAGGTATATGTTTGTGGTAATAGACAGATTTAGTAGATGGGTTGAAGCGGTACCATCGGCAGATGAAGGGACAGCAACAGTGATTAAATTTCTGACGAGAAGTATTTCCTAGATTTGGAATACCATCTGAAATAAATTCAGATAATCGCAGGGTATGGTTGAGAGATTAAATGGTACCATTAAAACTAAAATTAACAAAATATGTGCAAGTACTAAACTTAACTGCTTTGCCTCTTGCATTAATGAGTTATCGTATGCAAATTAACAGAAGTACACACCTAACACCGCATGAAATGCTTACGGGTCGACCCATGCCTGCGCCATTCTGTAGGGGCCCCTATAAAGGACCCCCACTAGAACAATTGCAAATGGAACGAAGAACCTGCATGAAGAAACTAACTGCGATACACAAAGCTATCTATTTACAGGAAACAAGAAAACAGCAGCCTAGTAAGGAGACAGAGGCAGCGTGTCCAATTGTCCCGGGTGACTAAGTAGCAATATCTGAGAATATTAAGGAAAAAGTGGAAGGAACCCAGGAGAAAGGATTACTCCAACAGCAATCCAAATATAAGGAAGCACTACTTTGTAGAGTACCCAAACTAAATGAAAAGAAGACAGAGGAAAAAATTGAAACAGAAAATACAAAAGAAGAGGAAAATGAAAGGGAGCATAGCATTAAAAACTATCAACAACGAGTTTTACCAAGTAAAAAGGCTCCCGCAAATGGAAAAATGAGCAAAGCAATACGGACAATGACCATCATATGCCTAGTGCATTTAATAATGCAAGTCCAAATACAATCTGTGTAGAACAGACATTCGGGAGTTGCCTTTGCAAACCGTAACTCGGCTTTGTTGTTTGATCAATGAAGTCTACTGGCTTCAAAACCTCTTTAGCAATTTCTTTTGAACAAGGAAAATTCCACAACACATTCTACCTTCCTTTCCTTCAATTGATCTATTCATCCTTTTTTCCATCAATCCATTCTGTCTTCCTTTATTCAATCATCCATCCATCCTTTTGTTATTTTCATCCATAAATACATTCATCCATCCCATGTTCTTTTTTCCATTCTACCTTCCTTTCATCATCCATCCATTCATCCACTTTTCTTTATTCCTTTCTTTCTTTCTTTCTTTCAGTCATCCATATCTTCTTTTCATCCTTAAATCCATTCATCCATCCATCTCTCTATTTCTGTTCGTCTTTTTTCCATTCTGCCTTACTTTCATCATGCATTATTCTTTATTCATTTGGCATCCATCCATCCACCCTTTCTTTCTTTCTTTCTTTTCCATTATTTTTTTCTTTTCATCATCAGTCCATTCATTCATCCATTCTATCTTCCTTTCTTCCATCTTCTATCTGACATTGTCCATTCTATCGGACTTTTCCATTCCTTTCTCCATCTTAGAAAGACACAATTTCTTGACAAAATCTTGACACATTTTCTTTTTCAAAGAATTTAGTGTTTACATTGGCCATTTTCTGCACTGTTGTGTCCTGTGGGTTCCTCCAGGTGCCCTCTGGCCTCTTCATCCCCAGTATGGCTGTGGGAGCGATTGCAGGCAGGCTGCTTGGTGTGGGTATGGAACAACTGGCATATTACCATCATGACTGGGTAATCTTCAGAGGCTGGTGCTCACCTGGAGCGGACTGCATCACCCCCGGCCTCTATGCCATGGTGGGTGCCACCGCCTGTCTGGGTAAGAGACTATTCAAACTGTCTACTATCATAAATGTGTCATTACTGGCTTGTCCAGATACTTTTATCTTTCTTTCATAGGCGGTGTAACTCGTATGACAGTCTCTTTGGTGGTCATTATGTTTGAGCTAACGGGCGGCCTGGAATACATTGTGCCTCTCATGGCTGCCACCATGACTAGTAAATGGGTGGCAGATGCTCTGGGTCGAGAAGGTATTTATGAGGCTCACATCCGTCTCAATGGTTACCCCTTCCTGGAGTCTAAGGAGGAGTTCAGCCACAAGACGCTGGCCATGGACGTGATGCGACCCCGCCGCAGCGACCCCCCGCTCTCTGTGATCACTCAGGATGGGATGAGTGTGGAGGAAGTTGAGTCGCTCATTGCTGAAACCTCATACAGCGGTTTCCCTGTGGTGGTCTCACCTGAGTCTCAGAGACTTGTGGGCTTTGTGCAGCGCAGGGATCTGGTCATCTCTATTGGTAAGAGAACACAACTCTAGGTGGACTTATTTTATGTGCATCTTTCTTAGATCTTGGACTATGATTGCTGCTGATGAACGTCTTGGTGGACTGAAGAAGTAGCTCAGCCAAAAATGAAAATTCTGACCTCATGTCATTTAAAATCTGCATGATTTACATACAATAAAAGTTAATGGAGTTCAAAGGTCATTTGGACCCCATTGACTTTCATTGTGTGGACAAAGAAGTTTAAACATTTCTTCTTGTAGAATCATGTGAATTATACTGTAGGTCAATCATGAGAAGGTTTATTATTCTCCGTTTCCCTCTGGCAGAAAATGCTCGTCAGCGTCAGGAAGGTGTGGTTAGTGCCTCTCGAATCTTCTTCACTGAATACACACCTCCACAGCCACCCAACAGTCCTCCTCCATTGAAGCTTCGTGGTATCATGGATCTCAGCCCATTTACTGTTACCGACCACACTGCCATGGACATTGTGGTGGACATCTTCCGCAAGCTGGGTCTGCGCCAGTGTCTCGTCACTCACAATGGGTAAAACCTTGGTTTGCTTAGCTTAGCCTGTCAGTTTTAAAGTTCTCGACTAATATTATTTGGTTTTGTCCATCATTTACATATGTCAGAATTATTATTACACATCACATATATTTGGATAAGCTCAATATAATCTTGTTCCTGTTTTTCCACAGGCGTTTACTAGGCATCATCACCAAAAAGGACATTCTGAAACATATGGCCCAGATGGCCAACCGAGACCCTGACTCTATTCTCTTCAACTGAAGTGCCAAACTGGCTGTTAGGAAACACCAGTCAGTTTGAAACCACCCACTGGGCAGAAAACACCAGTCTGGCCAAATGATTTGCACTACAGAACTGTCAGTACTGGGTTAGCGTCCATTCACACTGTGAATCCATTTGTAGAGCCTCATTGGCGTAGGCGCTACAACTGCAGGATGGAGGACCTTCAGCAGCGTTCTATGCACTCTGGCAACTAGCTTAAAGGTGGGATTGAGTGCAACCAAGTGTTGGTGTTTGCAGGTAGTCAGCCTATCATAACATATCAATGCATCAAAACATATCAAAATATATACCATGTAAGAAAAACTCTGTAACATTTTGTAGCATAAATCTAAATATAGACATTCACGTACCCGGCCTCTGTTGGATCGTGTTACTCAAACCCAAAACACCTCTGGTGAAAAGACCACATTCTCATCTTTCAGATTTTAAGAGACATTCTTGTGTATGTCAAGAGGAAGTCACAAGCAATTGGTAGCAGATGTGCATTGCATATTTCCCTAGAGTTCTCCTGCCTTCCACTACAGAATGGATGTTAATCATAAGTTAAAACCATTATTTGTTGTTTACATGTTCAGTTTTAGTCTTTTTTGATTTTTACTCTGTTTAAATGAGCACTTGCAAGTATTCTAGCATCTGAAAGCTCATGGGACAAATGTTTTTTTGTTTTAGCTGAATCTTAACGCTTTATGTGTCATTTATGAGTCTGATGATGTACAGTTTCCTCATTTTGTCACGTCTATAACACGTTTCCAGACTTGTAATCAGTCATAATCAGCACTGTGTAGTTTGTTTCTGCCAAGAAATGACACTTTAAAAGACTCACTCTATAGATTTTTCAGATTACATGCACTTTTTAAAATTACAACTTCATTTTTACACTACCATTCAAAAGTTTGGGGTCAGTAACATTTATGCTTATAGAATAAGTCTCTTAAGCTCACCAAGGCTGCATTTATTTGATTCAAAACATAGTAAAACTCAAATATTTTGAAGTGATATTAGAATTTAAAATAATTTTCATGTATTTTAAAATGTAATTCACTCTTGTGATGGCAAAGCTGAATTTTCAGCATCATTACTCCAGTCTTCAGTGTCACATGAACCTTCAGAAATCACTCTAATATGCTGATTTGCTGCTTAAGAAACATTTCTCTTTTCAGGTTTGATTGTTGAATATGAAGTTCAAAAGAACTGCATTTATTTGAAATAGAAATAAGATTATAAATGTCTTTTCTGTCCCTTTTGATCAATTTAATGCATCCTTGCTGAATAAAAGTATTAGTTTCTTAAAAGAAAATCTTACTAACCCGAAACCTTTGATCAGTACACTATGTGGTTCTCGTGGTTTTAATACCACTGTTAAAACTACACATTATGTAGCATTTCTCTATGCAAGTTAGGTTGGCATTATTTTTGGATAATATGTATGTGCAATCAATGCAAAATGGCATTACATTATACCGTTAATATAAGTCAGATTTTACCTTTTAATTCTCTTATCACAGTCTCTAATTATCCTATAATTAACAAGTTTTCTCCATTAACAAATGCTGCTTGTATGCATTGCCTGTACCATTCACATGCATGTCCAAATGTAACCTCAGCATGCAATATGTAGTCATCTGAATCGTGTAATTTTATTATACGCATATCAACCCAGATGTTTCCATTTTAGTGTTTAAGCCTGCATCTGTATGGCTCAATCTAATAATTTGCATTTCTCTGCTAGCATATCACACCACTTTTATGAAACTCACAGTGGGACACCGAGGGAATGCTAATATCTTTGTAAGCAGTGCTTAAAACATCTCAAGTGGCACATTAGCTTGGTTGGTTCTCAGTCCTTAGCTAACTTTCACAGTATTTCCTTTTTCTTTTTTTTTTGTCAAAATGTCACTCATTTTGATAAATGAAGGGCCACTTTATTAAGAACATCCATACTAATTATTTGTAATGGTTGTGTGCAGTAATTTTTTGGTTCTTTATACTCATTGTTTAAATTGTGTAAACTTGTTTTTTATGTCAGCCTTATCCTTTAGTGTTAAAAATGAATGTCTCATTATCATTGTAATTTATTTGTAAGCACTACATGAAATATAATAACATGTAACATGCTCTTTAGTGTTTCTTTCCAGTGTGATATTTGGTGATTAATGTTGTTCCTCATGTTTCTCAAAATTATTTCAAGATATCTGTCTGTCCTGGAGCTTCGGGAAAATTGCTGTAACAGGAAAAAGGCATTCTTTTGAAAAATGGTAGTTTAACTTTGGATTGTTTTGATAAATTTGAGTCATGCAAAGTCTCACTCTTCATCTAACCCTATTTTTGGCTCTAGGCTATTTGCTAGATTTTACTTCAGACATCAGTGAATGACACAGGTTTGACTCATAATGCAGTATGGGTGGCATAGTGCTTCCCAACAAAACAACTTCCTTTAATTAACTGGAGACTTCAAGTCCATGATTGGTCACACTGCCCCAGACAGTCTTTATAAGGAAAGAATGAACAATATAAACAGTATAACATCAAAAGAAAGTGGGAAACTATTAATCTGGCATGGTTTGCGTGCACAAATAGCAGCTTGCACAAAGTTTTGTGCATTTGTTGAAGGTGAAAGTCTTAATTTTAAGGAATTCGTTTGGCTTCTATGTGGTTAAATAGTCAAGGTCATTGTCCTCATTTTCAGAAACGTCTTTACAAAGCCCTCACAGATATGCTCATGATCTGCCCATTCAGATGGGAGTCCAGAGTTTCTCACTCTACTGAATCTTAAAATTCAGCCTAAGAAGGTCAAATGGTCCTCAGACCACAATAACTAGATGGTTTTCTGAGATGTTTGGTCTTTTGAACCCCTCAGATGCTGGAGTATCTGTGCTTCCCTCTCTTTACGGTTCCCATGTTGGGCCTTCCGACAGGAACAATTTCCTTTCCCTTAGAATGAGACCACAAGCCCCAATTGCGTCCCTCAGAGGTCAAACAGGAAGGCCCCAAAGTAGCTGGAGGAGTCTTCTGCATACACAGCTGTGGGAGAAGACACAGAGATGAAGATCTCGTCGCCTGCGCGAAGTTCAAACAGGCCCCCCTGGTAGATGGAATGAAGGGCGTTCTCGCTGTCTGGAGCCCAACATTTGGTGCCCACACCCTTCAGGAGCTGAATAGGGCGAGCGTAGGCGGTCTTCTTGTAGACACACTGCACCACCTGGTGGCTGTCGGAGCCCGAGTGGTAATCGTCGATGGAGAGGGTGAGATAACGGAAGTAGACTTGGGCGTACAGGTAGTAGCGGCCTGCGCGAGGGATACGCAGGCGTCCGTTGGACACGGTCATGTTGTGCAGGTGGGAGCCGAAACTCTGGTTCCCCCAGGAACGAACAGGATGGCGACAGGACTGGTGAAGGTCAGTCTGAGGGGTTAAGGATGTCGTACCTGGTATAACAAGGAAGGTGCAACAAAACATGATCACCTCAGTGTACAGCAGCAGTTCTGCTTCAGCACTGCTCCAACACTTCTCCATATCATAAATTAATGTGAACCTGTAATCCTTAAAAGGTTAGTTCACACAAAAATTAATAAGTAATTAAAAAGTCATTTTACGAAGCAATGAGAATACTTTTTGTGCACAAAGAAATCAATAATAACAATTCTTCTCCCCGATTTACCGTCTTCCGCCATTTTGGAGAGAACCCCAGAACTTAATCAATGTAATCAGCACTGTTTATGTTCAGTAGATAGTGTGCGCATGCTGAACGCAAACAACGCTGAATACATTGATTACGTTCTGGGGTGCTCTCCAAAATGGCGGAAGACGTAAATCGGGGAGAAGAATTGTTGAATAAATTATGTTATTATTGTTTTCTTTGCACAATTTTACGAAGCAATGAGAATACTTTTTGTGCACAAAGAAATCAATAATAACAATTCTTCTCCCCAATTTACCGTCTTCCGCCATTTTGGAGAGAACCCCAGAACTTAATCAATGTAATCAGCACTGTTTATGTTCAGTAGATAGTGTGCGCATGCTGAACGCAAACAACGCTGAATACATTGATTACGTTCTGGGGTGCTCTCCAAAATGGCGGAAGACGTAAATCGGGGAGAAGAATTGTTGAATAAATTATGTTATTATTGTTTTATTTGCACAGAAAAAGTATTCTCGTAGCTTCGTAAAATTACGGTTGAACCACTGACGTCACATGGACTATTTTACCGATGTCCTTACTACATTTCTGGACTTGGGAACATTTCAGTTGCATTGCTGTCTACAGAGAGCTCTCAGATTTAATCAAAAATATCTTAATTTGTGTTCCGAAGATAAACGAAGGTCTTACGGGTTTGGAACGACATGAGGGTGAGTAATTAATGACAGAATTTTCATTTTTGAGTGAACTAACCCTTTAAATAGATTTTCAGGTTCATTCTGAGGAATTGTTGCCGTTTGTGTCCCCATGACTTCCTACTGATTTACTGCAATAAACGTTCATTTTTAATTAGTAATGCAAAAAAACTTTTCAAAAGGAAACTAAATTAGATTAAAATACCAATGTTTATTATTATTATTATTGTAAATAATTACTCTTAATAGTAATAATAAAAATAATTATTATAAAATTAAACCAATTTAAAAATAAAATTAATAAAAAAAATCGTATTCATATTATGAATAATAATAATTATTATTATTATTATAAATTCATTAAATTAAATTGTAAGTATTGTTCGTTCATTAAAAAACAACGGGCCAAGATTGCTGCACTGGTCTCTTCACGTAATCACCGGTGCTCTTGGATATTTGGAGGTGAATCTCAAACTGAGGAGATTAAATACTTCAAGGCACTCGTATAGTAAAAATAAAAAGCCTTTCATTTACTGGGCTAAGTCATTAAAACAGTTAAATGTGTAGATCTACGCATTTCGGCTACACAGCCTTCTTCAGGATATTGTTAGTTCATGTTAACTAATGTAGGTCACTAATGTTAACACATCACACCTTATTGTAAAGTGTTACCAATAAATGTTATGGTATTATTTTAGTTTACCTTTATTGTTAAACTATGCAAACCTTGTTTTTCCATGACAAAACATGGTCCATTAACTCTTTCACATGGAACTTTTTTGGGAATGTGGGAATGTCTACTGCAATTTGTTTGTGACCACAAAGTATTTGTTGAACTAGTTTTTTTGCTTTATGTTTCATGTGAGATATCAGTTCAGTAAACAGTCAGAAATGTTTTGTTATGTTACTGAATTCCTAATGAAGTGGTTGTTTCCAGAAGGACAAGAGAGCTGTAGAAACGTAAAGGAAACGTTTTTTTGCTGACATGAGTACAGGCTTCTGTAATACACACACCCAAACATGCTGGCAAACTCACCCTGCAGTCCACTGTCTCTGAGAGTAAGATGAGCTGACGGCCGTGGGCTGCCAGTGGTGAGTAATTTTGTACGTGGAGGAATAGCGACTCTTTCTGCGAAACACAGTAAAGAACAAAGAGTCAACAAAGCAAAAAAAGAAATATCATTTCAAGTCGTTTAAAAATATAGATGTACTCAATTTTAAAAGAGAGTGTAGGTTCATTCAGGTAACGGCAGAAAGATTTTCTTCAATTGAAGAGGAAGAAACACTTGAATTCCTGTGGTTTTAGGTTACCTTGAAAGGTGTGTTTCGAGATTACGTTTTCTGTGACCTAAAAGAGAGCAAAAAATGAATGTAGTCAGATTTGTGAGAAAATACAGAAAACAAAGGACATGTTTATACATATATTTCTGCCAATTGTAGGGTGCTACTAAAGTACGCACTCCTGATTTGGTGTTACACATTTGAAACAACATCACTAAGACATTTTCCACATTCAAGTCCATGTAAGAAAGATCCAATCCAACCTCTTTTCTGGAACACCAGAGCAGCACAAAAACATTTAAGCCACAATTGAGAGAGAATAGGCTTCATTACATTTGATTTATTTGGAGCATTTTTTAGTGCAACAGGCCAAATCAAATATTTATTATATCCATCAGCCTGCAGATTTGACAGTTGTCTTGGACTCACACCTAGTGGTGTGGATGTAGCATTATGCAAAAGCAAAAAAAAAAAAAAAAAAAATGCAGCTACTGTTACTACTGTAGAAATGCCTACTCACAGTCAGCCATGACTAATTTATTCAGTGAGCTATAGTGCCCAATACTAGAGAGATTATAGAGATGAATAGTGAATAGTATTTTTCTGCTCATGTGATCTCAGTATGGCTGGGGATGTGCTCTGTGTAAAATAAAACATCTTTTATTAGATTTCTGATATGACTGGAGTCAACGGTTTTAAACCTTTTTCAAACATACTATTAATTCTTAGCACTTTTTAGAAAAAAATGACTAAATACATAATCCAAAAATGTACTAATGAGGGACCAGAAATCTGTTGTATGTAACCTAGTTTCCAGAGGAAGAAACAGATCAATGCTGAATGTTTTTGTGTGTTGAAAGTTTCCAGTGCTTTGTGGTTTTCTGCAGCTAGTCTCCCACTGGTTATGTGCATATCCAAAGGGCACCAGGTCCAAATGCCATGAGAAATGCCATAAACAGACTAATTGCCATCACTTGTTGTGAGATAAAAAGCACATGCTTTTGCTGTACTTGCATATTTATTAAAAATATGGCATGTCTTTACCTTGGAGATGTAAGCTTTGAGTCCTTCGGCCAGTTTAATGCATGGCTCACCAAAGAGCTGGACCAGGTCATCAGGTACATCCTGTTCTTTCTCCAGAGCGTTCAGAAGACCCAAGCATCTCAGCTCCTCCACCACACCTTGTGTCCGAGCCTGTCAATGACACATTCACCAGTCCACTTAAAAATGTTTAAACATGATGAAACATCCTAAAAGGCTTTGTTTTTCAGGAATACATGACAGAACTTTCTTAAAAGGGTCATATGGTGTTGCTAAAAAGAACATTATTTTGTGTATTTGGTGTAATGAAATGTGTTTATGCGATTTAAGGTTAAAAAAACACATTATTGTCCACACACTGTACATTATTGTTTCTCCTCTAAGCCTCGCCTTTCTGAAACGCGTCGATTTTTACAAAGCTCATCGTTCTGAGAAGCGAGGTGTGCTCTGATTGGCCAGCTATCCAGTGCGTTGTGATTGGCCGAATACCTCAAGCGTGTGACAGAAATGTTACGCCCCTTACCATACTGTGATGCCGTGTCCCGGAGTGACGAGACAAAACCAATAAAACCCATTGCATTTGTTTGTTTGTTTGTTTTACTTTTAACAGCCAGTGAAGGAAAAAATTGCTGAAACAATATCAACAATAACACACAAAATCATTAACATTCAGTCCATTATGCAGCTTGCCTCATGGGACGTTTTCTGTCAAGAGTTTGACAGCTTTCCCACAAAATACACAATGTCAAAATACAAAGGACACCATACAAAAGCTCTTAGCAGAGATTGGATGAATACAATGCAAGCTTAGGTCAAGAATTTAGCAATTCTATGTGCAAAATTTATTGACCTGATTCATAGCATCAGAACTGATTATGACAAAGAGCCATGACCTAATTCTTGTGGCAGCTAAATAAATGCAGTAATCACCATCCCAAGATTATATTCAAAGAAAAAGCAGTGCTGACACAATGAAAACTTGTAAACTTGATACCAAGTATCGTTGTTGAACAAAAGTATTAATTTCTTTAAACCTTTTAACAATAATATATTTATTAATACAGTGGTGTTTACAACAATGTCAGGATTTAAAAAACAACAACAAAAACATAATTTAAATGTATATGATATTTGTTTAGACTAGAGTTATATTTGATGTAACAAAAACATGTTTTTCCACTGGAGAACTTTTGAAACAATCTAAAATTATGATGCATAACATGATTGTCAGGTTTTACACAAATTTATAGAGGTTATGCAGCTTGGGTGCTGATTTTATTAAAGCAAAAGAAGGAACAAAAATATTAAAACAAGAATGCTAAATAATTAGTTAATAATTGTTAATAATTAGTGCACAATTTTCCACACCACAATCTGTCAAGCACATCTTACCAGCAAACATACACTCTTTCACATCCTTCTCCTCACTCACTGTAGCGTCCAGTGTTCAACCAAGTCTCTGCCTTTCTCACACAGAACAACCTCGACAGCGACCAGTCTGGTTTCAGAAGTGGACATTCAACCGAGACTGCCTTGCTCTCAGTTGTTGAATGAATGAATGATATTTATATAGCGCTTTATTGTGTATTTTTGTACACCCAAAGCACTTTACAATCATGGGGGGGGGGGGGGGGTTCTTCCCTAAACCCCCCCACAAAGGCCAGTTTTGGCTAGGACTGGTAGGGTTATACCCCTACTCTTTACGAGAAGTGCCATGGGATTTTTAATGACGACAGAGAGTCAGGACCTCGGTCTAATGTCTCATCCGAAAGACGGTGCTTTTTGACAGTGTAGTGTCCCCGTGTTGAAGCCCTAAGACTGGCAAGAGCAGATTCAAAATCTTCAATACTTAATTTGCTGGATCTGTCCGCTGCTTTTGACACGGTTAATCACCAGATCCTCCTGTCAACCCTATTGGCAAAGGGCATCTCAGGAACCACACTCCAGTGGTTTGAGTCTTATCTCTCAGATAGGTCCTTCAAGATATCTTGAAGAGGTGAGGTGTCCAAGTAACAACATCTAACTACTGGGGTGCCTCAGGGCTCAGTTCTTGGACCACTTCTCTGTCTACATGGCATCACTAGGTTCTGTCATTCAGAAACATGGCTTTTCATATCACTGCTATGCTGATGACACTCAACTCTACCTCTCATTCCATCCTGATGATCCAACGATAGCTGCTCGCATCTCAGCTTGTCTAACAGACATTTCTTGTTGGATGTCAGACCATCACCTTCAACTCAACCTGGCTAATCACTTTATCAAAATTTCACCATCCAGTTAGGCACATCAACCATAACTCCTTCAAAAACAGCCAGAAAGCTTGGAGTTATGATTGATGATCAGCTGACTTTCTCAGACCACATTGCTAAAACTGCCCGGTCCTGCAGATTTGCTTTATACAACATCAAGAAGATCAGGCCCTTTCTTTTGGAACATGCTTCACAACTCCTTGTTCAAGCTCTTGTTCTGTCCAGGCTGGACTATTGCAATGCTCTCTTGGCAGGTCTTCCAGCCAGTTATATCAAACCTTTACAATTAATCCAGAACGAACGCGGCAGCAAGATTAATTTTTAACGAGCCGAAAACAATGCACGTCACACCTCTGTTTATCAGTTTGCACTGGCTACCAATAGCTGCTCGCATAAAATTCAAGGCATTAATGTTTGCCTGCAAAACCACCACTGGCTCTGCACCCCTTTACCTAAATTAATTACTTCAGACTTATGTGCCCTCTAGAAGCTTGCATTCTGCAAGTGAACGGCACTTTATTGTACCATCCCAAAGAGGCACAAAATCACTTTTTTTTAAAAATTTTAAATTAAATGTTCCCTCCTGGTGGAATGTCCTTAGCCATATTCAAGGATCGGCTAAAAACACATCTCTTCCATCTTTATTTGACCTTCTAACTCTCGCACTCTATTCTAATTCGATTCTTTATAAAAATAAAAACGTACCCCTTTTAGACTTGCACTCTATTTATTTACTAACTGCTTGTTTTCTTTTAAAAGAAACTAACACTTGCTTCTCTTATCTTTTTGCATTCTGTCTATTTGTTTTCTTTTTATTTATTATACAATTATAATTCTGACTTCTGATTAACAAAATCAAAAAAGGCCTCTAACACTAGCTTGCTCTATTCTTTTATTCTATCTGTTTTCTTTTTATTTATTATATGATTTAAAATAAACCATGCTACGTGTACTGCATTAAGCTAATTGAGACTTGTTATAGCACTTGCATATCATTGCTCTTTTGTTGATTTTGATTGCTTTCATTGTCCTCATTTGTAAGTCGCTTTGGATAAAAGCATCTGCTAAATGTCTAAATATAAATGAATGCTAAGAACTTAAATTGTTATGCAAATTCTATAATTTGTATCAAATATTCTTAAATGAGAAAAGTGCAAAATACATTTTTTCACTAGTGGTCCCAGACCTTGTGGACTCTTTTGTATATATCTATAACTACATCTATAACTCTATAATCTTTATAGACCTGTGTATTTTGTATTCAATGGTGGTCATTCAGGCGGAGCCTTATAAACAGTGGCGCTCCACGGAAGAGATCCAGAGCTACTGCATCCACCCATGAACCCAGCTCAACAAGCCCACACAGAAGTGCCCACCAGGCTCCACAGGGCTCTCCTGAGAAGAGATGTCCTCTTTGTGGAGGTAATGTGATTGTGTAGATCTGCAGCCCTCTGTGGCTCATAATTTACTGCTCACAAGCTCTTCTTCTAATCTATTTGCTTTTTGTCCACATAGAAATCTTCAGTCCTGATTATTTGCCTTTCCATGCTTCCACCTGCCTGGAATCTGATTCAGCAGAGCTCATGGGAGTCAGGGAAACAGATCATGAACTCACTGTACTCTTCTGCTTTTGGCTCTGGCGCAGATGAGCATATGGTTTCATGTCCTCTTTGCTCCTTCCGATTCCCCCCAGACCGTATCCAGCAGCACGCCAGCACCTGTGGCGACACGGTAGGACCAGGTACTGTGTGGGTGAACTGAGAGAAGAGCACTGTGGTCTTGGAAAAACCTTCTCAGAATAGCAACATACAAATAGAAATCAGGTATTCTCTTGGTTTCCAAGGCCTTGGGCAAAACGGCGTTCAGTAAACATTGTGTATCCCACTGGCTTATGAATTTTGGAGAATACAGATGCCTCCCTAAAAAGACTGTGTTTTATTGTTTTTAGAGGGAATTTATAACATTGGTCATTATGAAATGTTTGACTGGCAAACATGTTTTGGCTGTAAATATGTTTGTCGTCTTATCTGCTTTTCACTCTCTTTGTGATATCAATTAGAGTGTTAAATGAAACCATTGTTTGTAATTGCTTACAACATCTTGTCATAAATATAAAATATATTATTTAGTACGTTCAGATTTGTAATTTTACTCACTTTTTCAACAACAAAAATAAATACATCTTTTTGGTTTAAAAGTGATTACATATACAATACTGTTTAAATGTTAAGTCTCTTATGATGAAAAAATACAGTAAAAACAGTAATACTTTAAAATATTATTAAAATGTAAACTGAATATGTTATAAAATGTAGTTTATTCCTGTGATAGCAAAGCTGAATTTTCATCTGCAATTTCTTCAGTTTTGAATTCTTCAGAAATCATTCTAATATGCTGATTTGGTGCTCAAAAATATTATTATTATTATCAATGTTGAAAATGGATGAGCTGCTTATTATTATTGTGGAAACTGGCAAAGAATTCTTTGATGAATAGAAAGTTCAAATGAACAGCTTTTATTTGAAATCGAAATCTTTTGTAACGTTTTAAATGTTTTTGATCAGTTTAATGTGTCTTTCTAAATGTAAGTATTAATTTCTTTATAATATTTCCTAGGGCTGGGTTTTGACACAAATTTCACGATTTGATTCGATTCTCATTCACAAGCTTGCGATTCGATTCGATTACCAATTCGATTCAATATCGATTATTTTGGATATATATCAGGAACAGTACATGCCAAATTTTCTCAAGGAAAAAAAATCAGCTAATGCTGTAAAATATATAAGAGTCAGTTGGTACTACATTACTATAAGGTTAAAATTGACTTAATATACTTAATGAAGTTTTTAAAATACTAAAGTTACAATTACATAATAATATTTCTACTTCAATTAATTTGTTTGAAATATAAACATAATGGTGGCTGTCATAAAAACTTGATGGATTTATTCAAACATAAATTAAACATTGAAGAACAGTAGAATGTATAATGCATATGTTATATGGTGCATATATTTAGCAAAATGCCCCTCTTTACAGTTTATTTTTCTATCTGACTTATGAGTTTATGTTCACCAAATATGTTTTTATGAGGTAAATGTGACGTTACGTGACATTGTTTACAAGACATTATATTGACATCTTTGCGCAGCTGGAACACAGATTATTGTTTACATGAGACAGGATACGGCTTGTAAAGTTATACTCTTTCTTTTAACTTACCTTCGGATGTTTAGTCATGTTTATTTTGTGCTGAAACTGGTATTAATGTGGAGGAGATGATCAGTTCACGCGCGCCTCTCGCTGCTGCGTCTGTAGTACTGCGACTCCACATTAAACAGCGCCAAAACGGCATTTATTGTTTGAATACTGCAATACAATTAAAAGAATTTGAAATCTGAGACTTTGTTTCATGTTAAAAGTACCAAAGCACAATGCTTATTGCGATTTATTGGATGGGAGGTGCGCTTCAATGTTCAGTCCTTTAACTGAAAACAGGCTAGAAAAATTCATTCCATGAAATGAGAATCGATTAATATCGAGATATTGATATTTTTTTACCCAGCTTAATATTTCCTGATCACAAGATTTTTAACTAGTGCAT